TTTGGTTGAGGGGGGGAAATTAGTCCACTGGGTTGGGGGGGGCCCTTTGTCCACTGGTGTTGGAGGGTGAACCTTAGTCGACTGGTGTTGGAGGATGGACTTTTGTCCCTTGGTTTTGAAGGGTGGATTTAAGTCCACTGGTGTTGGAGGATGGAACCTAGTCCACTTGTGGTGGTGGGCGGAAATTAATCCACTAGTGTTAGATGGACCCTAGTCCACTGGTGTTGGAGAGTGGACCCTAATCCACTGGTATTGGAGGGTGGATCCTAGTCCACTGGCGTTGGATGGTGGACCCTAGTCCAACTTTTTGGAGTTTGGTTCCTGGTCCACTGGTGTTGGAGGGTGGATCCTAGTCCACTGGCGTTGGAGTGTGGATCCTATTTCACTTGTGTTAAGGGTGGATCCTAGTCCACTGGTGATGGAGGATGGACCCTAATCCACTGGTGTTGGATGAGCTCTAGTCCACTTGTGTTGGAGGATGGACTCTGGTCCACTGGTGTTGGTGGGTGGACCTTAGTCCGCTGGTGTTGAAGGGTGGACCCAAGTCCACAGGTTTTGGAGGGAGGATCCCAGTCCACTGCTGTTGGAGGGTGGACCTTAGTCCACTCGTGTTTGAGGATGGACCTTAGTCCACTGGTCTTGGAGGGTGGATCCTAGTCCACTTTTTTGGAGGGTGGACCCTAGTCCTCCAGTGTTTGAGGATGGACCTTAGTCCACTGGTTTTGGAGGGTGGATCGTAGTCCACTGGTGTTGGTGGATGGACCCTTGTCCCCTTATTTTGGAGAGTGGACCCTAGTCCACATGGTTTTGGAGGGTCGATTCTAGTCCACTTTTTTTTTGGAGGATGGACCTTAGCCCACTGGTGTTGGAGGGTGGATAATAGTCCACTGGTGTTGCAGGGTTGATCCTAGTCGACTTTTTTGGAGGATGGATCCTAGTCCCCTTATGTTGGATTGAACCCTAGTCCACAGGTTTTGGAGGGTGCATCCTAGTCCACTGGTGTTGGAGGGTGGACCCTAGTCCACTGGTTTTGGGGGATTGACCCTAGTCTACTGGTGTTGGAGGGTGGACCCTAGTCCACTGGTTTTGGGGGATTTATCCTAGTTCCCTTGTGGAGAATGGACCCTAGTCCACTGGTTTTGGAGGGTGGAACCTAGTCCACTGGTTTTGGAGTGTGGAACCTCGTCCACTGGTGTTGGAGGGTGGAACCTAGTCCACTTGTTTTGGAGGATGGAACCTAGTCCACTGGTTTTCGAGGGTGGATCCTATTCCACTGGTGTTGGAGGATGGAACGTAGTCCACTGGTTTTGAAGGGTGGATCCTAGTCCACTGGTGTTGGAGGATGGAACCTAGTCCACTGGTTTTGGAGGACGGATCCTAGTCCACTGGTGTTGGAGGATGGAACCTAGTCCACTGGTTTTGGAGGGTGGACCCTAGTCCACAGATTTTGTAGTGTGGATCCTAGTCCACTTCTGTTGGAGGGTGGACCCTTGTCCACTGCTGTTGGAGGGTGGACCCTAGTCCACTGGTTTTGGAGGGTGGATCCTAGTCCACTGGTGTTGGAGGGTGGGCCCTAGTCCACTGGTTTTGGGTGGTGGACCCTAGTCCACTGGTGGAGAGTGGACCCTAGTCCCCTTATGTTGGAGGGTGGACCCTAGTCCACAGGTTTTGGACTGGATCCTAGTCCACTGCTGTTGGAGGGTGGACCCTAGCCCACTGGTTTTGGATGAACTCTAGTCCACTTTTGTTGGAGGATGGACTCTGGTCCACTGGTGTTGGAGGGTGGACTCTAGTCCACAGGTGTTGGAGGATGGACCTTAGTCCACTGGTGTTTGAGGTTGGACCTTAATCCACTGGTGTTGGAGGGTGGATCCTAGTCCACTTTTTTTGGAGGGTGGACCCTAGTCCACTGGTGTTTGAGGATGGACCTTAGTCCACTATTGTTGGAGGGTGGATCCTAGTCCACTTTTTTGGAGGGTGGACCCTAGTCCACTGGTGTTGGAGGATGGACCCTTTTGCCCTTATTTTGGAGGGTGGACCCTTGCCCACAGGTTTTGGAGGGTGGATCCTAGTCTACTTTTTTGGAGGGTGGACCCTTTTCCACAGGTGTTGGAGGATGGACCCTTTTGCCCTTATGTTGGAGGGTGGACCCTAGTCCACTGGTTTTGGAGGGTGGATCCTAGTCCACTTTTTTTGTAGGGATGACCCTAGTCCACTGGTGTTGGAGGGTGGATCATAGTCCACTGGTGTTGTAGGGTTGATCCTAGTCCACTTTTTTGGAGGGTGGACCCTAGTCCACAGGTTTTGGAGGGTGCCTCCTAGTTCACTGGTGTTGGAGGCTGGACCTTAGTCCACTTGTGTTGGAGGGTGGACCCTAGTCCACTGGTGTTGGAGGGTGCTTCGTAGTCCACTGTTGTTGGAGAGTGGACCCTAGTCCACTGGTGTTGGAGGATGGAACCTAGTGCACTGGTTTTGGTGGGTTTATCCTAGTTCCCTTGTGGAGAATGGATCCTAGTCCACTGGTTTTGGAGGGCGGAACCTAGTCCTCTGGTGTTGGAGCGTGGATCCTAGTCCACTCATGCAGGGTGGACCCTAGTCCACTGGTGTTGTAGTAAGGAAAGTAGTCCTTTTTTGGAGGGTGGACCCTCTCCCACTGGTGTTGGAGGGTGGAACCTAGTCCAGTGGTGTCGGAGGATGGACCCTAGTCCCCTTATGGAGGGTGGATCCTAGTCACTTGTGTTGGAGGATGGAACCTAGTCCGCTGGTTTTGGAGGGTGGATCCTAGTCCACTTGTTTTGGAGGATGGAATCTAGTCCACTGGTTTTCGAGGGTGGATCCTATTCCACTGGTGTTGGAGGATGGAACGTAGTCCATTGGTTTTGAAGGGTGGTTCCTAGTCCACTGGTTTTGGAGGATGGATCCTAGTCCACTGGTGTTGGAGGGTGGACCCTAGTCCCCTTATGTTGGAGGGTGGGTCCTAGTCCACTGGTGTTGGTGGGTGGATCCTAGTCAACTGGTGTTGGAGTGTAAGCACTAACAGGAATCAGTGGAGACTGAATACTGCCCAGTGTTCTGTTATTTATCGAAGAATGGGCCAAGTGTTAGCCATAAACCTTGAGTCCACTGTGTTGGAGTGTGACCACTTTTAGCTCCCTTGAGTTTTTATATAGTGAACATCGCTCAGCTCACTTGAGCTTTCTCAGAGTGAACACCGCTCAGCTCCCTCGAGCTTTCTCAGAGTGAACACCACTCAACTTCCTTGAGCTTTTTAAAGAGTGAATACCACTCCTATCATTCAGTCTAGAGACTAAATGCCATGGACTTTGTCCATACTCTATATATATGGGACTTTGCGATATTACTGAACTGTTCAGTAATATTGCACTGTCCCTTATATATATTTCCATTTATATACGGGATTGTCTGCAATGTTACTGGACTGTGTGCAGTAATGTTGCGTTGTGGCCCATATATCACTGCAATCCTTCCCAGCATTTATGCTTCATAGTTTTTTCGTTGTATCGACGTTGCCTAAACATC